AGTGGAGAATACAAGACGGGGATGGGAGCATTTTGATGGAGAGCAGCTCGGGTCGAGGGTGGCAGCTAAAATGCACACACCGAGACTGGAGGCAAAACGATTAGTGGCGCATAGTCAGCCCGCGGGCATGGAGACAGCGGGGGCTAGAGAAGATAGCGTAGAGGGGGGAAGAGGGGGCAGGGCACTCATTGTGTTATTTACCAGGTTGCCCAAGAAGTTTACAGGGAGAAGAGAGAGGAAGGGGAGGAGATAATAAAGGGACAAGGGGAATCGAATGTGAATCAAAAGTGAGCACCATGATTGACCGAAGCTCCTGCAATAGTCGCCCAGCTCTCTACCAACGGAGCCAGCCAGGCATATAAAATATTATTTTGCATTGATGTTTAAAAGGAATAAAAACAACTGTCCCTGCTTCATATAGATGTGCACATTTGCTAAAGGCTTGACATCAAAAAANGAGCAAATACATCTTATATATATTGTCGGGTCAGCCGGGGGTCTGACACATGCAGAAAGCGTATCCATGCTTAAGAGTATCCAAACCAAACTGAGAATTCCATGCATTAGTATTTCAGATATATTTTACAATATATATATAAAATATATTGTTTTGCTGTTGCCTCTGGCAATTGAGTAGATGTTATAATGTTATCGATTAAGGGAGAAACAGCAAGTCATCGAGAGTGAGAAGGGATTGATGTGAATTGCGGACTAACCTGTAATATTCACAAATTGGATCTATTTAATTAACAGCAAATTCTGGGAGAAATTTTACTGCTATGAATCGTGTAGCCTAAGTTGGTAACAGATGAAAAGACTGACATCAGCCAAAATTTTTGCCAAGAATCCAGAAGCTGCAATAATATCTGCTTTGAGAATATCCGCATACCATATCTGCTTTGTGAATGTCATTGCTCCGCTAGACCCCAATATAGTGGCTGCCCAAGAAGACAACAACTTTACATTTATATAGCACCTTTCACATCAGGAGGGCATCTCACAGCACTTAGGAAGATGGAACAGGCTCACTTGTAGCTGATGTCCAACCCAAAATTTGTATTTTTGTAAAAAAAACTTTGCTTTTTTTGAGATGCAGCCCATAAATGTGCACATTCTTCTGAAAACAGAAACCTGAGAGAAACAAAATGGCACTTCCCTCCCCTTTCCCCTCCGTCCTAGCACAAGGGAACAAATGATAAAGAAGAATATTTGTATAGCTATCAGCAATGTAAAACCCCACATGATAAAATATGCACTGATGTCACAGAATAGAGGGAAGCAAATTGCACTGTGACAGAGTCAGCCACTACCACTGAAACATTAGACAGGTACCAACAGGTTGGTAAATACGTTCCAAACATCACTGCTGAAAATGCCAGTTTGAATGAATATCAAAGTCAAATCTGATCGGGTGAGGGAAGAAGTTTACAGCTTCACAAAAACAAATTCTGTTTCAAACCTTTTCTGTCTATTTGCATTGGGGTAAAGCACCTTTGAGACTTTTTCACTCACTCACAAGACATCCGATTTTCAGAATGGCGGTCACCTACTTTACTTAACCAATGGAACGCACATACAGCTTTGCACAGGATTATCGACCGATACTTAAATTTTTCTCGAATTTAAAAAAAATGTTCTCCTATGTTACTTTAAAATAGCACCATATCCACAACAGACCCTTTCCATCTCTAGAGAAGATGGGGTCATGTGCGGATACTGTCGCACCAATTTGCTTAATTGCTGGTATTTCACATTTTTCATTGAATTTAGCACCAGTGAATACTTTGCGGTATTTTTAAAAACTCAACAGTAAAGTTACCAAAGAATGGGGTGTTTCAGAAGTCAGGTTGCCTATTAGTGTGACCCGAACTGAACAATGTTAAGAATGCAATGTGAATCCTATCCTCAAATGCACCATGTGGTTTGGTACTGAGCCATACAGAGCAGGAAGGGCCCAGACTCAAAGTCTAGTCTTTGCTGGGACAGTGGTGTGAGGGCTATGGTTGGCCACAGTGTCCTGAGCGAGAGAGAGGACAATCAATCAGGGCTCCTTGCCCTTTTCTATTTTCCAGTTCTCTCCTGAAGGTGATAGCACATGGTCAGGTACATCTCCTCAAGCAAACGCCACCTCTGGTAACTCTCTTAAATGACCACACTTCAAGTGTGACAGTGAGCGCTGACTGCGTGAGGCTGTGCTCAGCACGTGCACAAACCCACTCACGCAACAAATTTCCAGCCGTGGTCACTGAATAACAATTGAGGAGCAAGAGTCTTGGCTGATCATTCCCCAGGATAGTACTGCGCAGGATTGAAGGATTGGAATGATCACTTGGATGAGGCTATTGGATAGCTGCTCGTGCCCAAGGAACCACACACCAGTATGCGGCTCTGCCTTCAGGAGAGGAAGAGAAAAAAAGTAGGAAAAAAAGTGTGACATTGTCTACAAAACAGTTTCCTTCAGCTGGGCGTTAAAGTGAATTTATAACAGTTCTTACTGATTTTCATTTGTTCTGTACAAATAGCACTGTCACTGTCTGACAGTTGATCCACTGATACATACAGACTATGATGATATGTCCTACAGTAAATGTAATAATCATTTTAAGCATTTATAAGTTGATCAAGCATATGACTAAGCCCTTCGCCATAGTTAAGTAGCCTGCTCACATGTATTGTATAGATAATAATAATAATCCTTGCATTTGATATAGCGCCTTATTACATCTTCAAGACGTCTCAAAGCGCTTCACAGAATATACTGTAAAGTGAATTGACTGTATATTTTGTGGGAGAAATGCGGCAGCAATTGCACACAGCAGTGTCCCACAAGCATTTGAGGGTTGAGTGACCAAATTATTATTTTTTTTAAAAGGGATTATTGCCCCAGGAAAAGCAATCCGCCAATTGACTAACAACCGGGTTCCTACTTACTGCTAGGTAAGCAAGAGGCATGTGGAGTAAGGAAACTTGCTTAAGGTTTTGCCTTGCTGGGAATCAAACCCAGGTCCTCTCACTTTCGAGGCAAGTGCTCTCACCACTATGCTGCAGGACTCCACAAATTGATGAACATAAACTTTTGAATGGGATATCGTGTGTCTGTTACCACCCAGGACAAGTTATCAACTCTGGGATTTGAGGGGCAAGAGAAAAAAAATTTGGAGGAAAAAATATTTTTCTTGCTTTGACATAAAAAGGATGAGGGTTGCCAAACAAAATTATTTTTNAAAGAAGTGGAGACATACACAAGTGCTTCCTGATGGTGTGAACAGGCATGATAACTGGGCGCCCCTACTTTGCACTATTATACAAACAACACGAGTACTGAACTGGCAATGTCTGTATATAACAGAAGCAGAAGTCACCGTCCTAAATGGTTGGCTAGTTAGTGGTAGCTGTTGTGATGAAGAAGTAGCTTGCTGGAAGGTCTGGATACTTTCACAGCAAGACACTCTGTTAGCAACCTTTGTGATAATCACGAGGTAAGTGATGGGGCAGGAGAGAAGACAGGTCTATGAACGTTCCATAGTTAGTGGTTGTAGTGACTATCACGTCACTCAGTTACAAGCTGGACTGCCTCGCTCTTCCAGGCAAAGAACTATCAATGTGTTGCTCAAGTTCCCCAGTCTTGGTCTCTCTCCCATTCAAATTCTTAAATTGATTGGTTTAAAAAGTGCAAATCAGACTAAAACAACATGATTTTAAAAAAGACTCAGAACTGAGCACTTCTTCCCCTCACACCGTTGCCAGAGAGAAGCACCGCTCAGCAGTTCATTTCAACACAATGTGACAGAGCTACCAGAGATCAAATAATCTTGTGTCTTTTGATATACGTTCATCAGCTATCACAACAAAATAAATATAAACTCATTTGTTTTATCTCATCAAAAAAGCACCCTCAAAAATCATGTCCATTATTATCTGAATGAAACAGACTTTGAACAAAAATGTTAATGATAAAAGAGATGAGAGATGTCAAGCGCTGTGATGTTATTTGCTGAATCAGCAGCATCACAAATCACAGGCGCTCACTCGTACAATGCTGGTGTGGTTGGACATGCCACTGACTGAAGCTTATGTGACATCACTGTCTATTCTCATAAGAAAGGTGTTTCAGATCAGGGTAATTGTCTTGGTAAGAATAAAAAGCATTGATTTTGTAAAACAATAACAAACAGTAATAACATTTTTCATATAAAATGAGACACTCACATTGTCGTGTTGTCATATGCATTGCACTAAGCTTTAAGAAGAGGGAATAAAAGATATAAGCACAGAGAGGAGATAAAAAGAGCTATTAAGGACAGGTTTTCAGTTGCCAATGTATGGCAGATATTTACAACATTTAACTGCATTTAATAAAAGTATAATTCTAAGCTATTTCAAGTCGTCTTAAAAATGAGAAAGTGCTTTTAAATCATTTTGTATTTACAGTTAAAAATACACAAAAAAGGACACTGGATAGACGAGATAAATAATTCTGCTTCCAGTCATCACCTGCACCAGGATTTAAAAGACGTGTCTTGCTAGGTATGAGAACTCTGTTCAGGCACCTGGTTGCTAAAATGGAATCAATGTTATAAAAAAGGCCTGAATATTTACCTTGGCCATTCTGTGCAATGACAGGAAACTGTTGCAATGGCACCTTTGAAATATAGCTCAGCTTAACAGTTCTGCATGACGGACTGAAGCCCTCTGCAACCGAGCACCAGAATGTGTGATTTGTTTACATGTGGTAACTAGCCTAGATTACACACATTTACGTGATTGACTTAAAGCTATGAAAGTGAGCCCACATCATATTTCCTTCAAAGTGAAATATGATTACTTCTTCTACAGTAAATTTGCAGTAAACAGGCTTTGTAACCAGCACCGAAGATGGTCATTTTGATGTTCCTTAATTCAGAATGCTGAACTTCTGAAGAGTAAACAGGTTATTTTAGGGAAGATTTTCTATCCTGAAGAAATGATTTTCTTTTTACCAAAATAACCTGACTTCCCATTTTGACTTATAGCTAAACCCTAAAACACTGTTTGTCATCATCTGTTCAATCGCTGATGTTAACAACTGATGATAACCTGGTTCGATCTGAACAGTAACTTTGTCACAGCTTTGATAAGTTTTGCACTGATAACTTTCCTCACCTTGAATCACTTGAGATGAATGACCAGGGCACGTTTATGTTAGAACAGCACCATCCCTAGCAAACAGCAATTACTGCAATGAGGTAAGGCAGTGATAGATTCTATTACTCTTATATCCACCGACTGTAAGGCCCTGTAACTTGGGTGAGGGCATAGGAAGATACAGTGATAACGGAGTCCCGTGGGGTGCTTAACGCTTTGCGTGTGGGGACACGTACAAGCTCGTTGTCCTCCTGTAATAACTCTGGGGGTTGTGGCACCGCCCGCTTAAACTTCTTGTTGGGCTTGGTGAGATTGTGTTCGTGGTTTACTTCTTCCTTTTCCTTCTCCTTCGCCCGCTCGGCCATCTTTGTCAACTTTGCCTCCCACAGGGCCAGTCCATGTTTTGGTTCATGCAGGTTCTTGTGCTGGTAGAAGACCAGGGAAATGCGTGTGGGGTGATGCCGGTTGGGTTTCTTGACTGGGGTGGTGGCGTGTAGCTCATGACGAGCACACTCAATCAGAACAGAACCATGAGATGGCGCGACAGCAACACCCCCAATGTCCTCATCCAGGAAATTGTGCTCGCTGTCGGACCACACCTCCTGTACGGGCTTCTCACTGGTACCCATTGGAGTTGGTTCCTCATTGTTCTCTGCTTTGGGAGGGATCAGGCTTTCATCTTGAGTGAATGACTGTTGAAATTCACGAAAGTTACCCCCTAATTGTAGTTTTACCAAGCCATTCGGCTTGCTTGTATCAGTTGTTTTTGTTTCCAGAGACAACGACATGTTGTCACATGAGCCTGGGAGCTGCGAGTGACTCGTTTGCTCTTTTATTGCTTGAGGCTTGCGCTGTTGGGTGAATTGTGTTGCATTCTTATAAATTTGGTCCAGGGAGTCTGTTCTGCCTTGTTGCACAGAGAAATTCATATTGGGAAGCAACTGGGGGATGTCTGCTTTTTTGTCATCCAAAGCACTTCCCGAAAAGCCATTGATCATCATTTCAACGTTGTTATATTTTGTAAAAGGTGACAAAAAGTGCTGGTTACCAGGATAACCAAGATACCCGTAGGGAACTGAGAAGCTATGTTGGAAACTAGGGAGTGTTGGCAAGTTGGGACGGGGAATCAAAGTAGAGTATGGGTAAACACCACCCAAATTATAAGGTGCAGGAGAGGTGAATCCTCCCAATGGGGAATAATTTCCAACACCCGTGTGTCCAGTATATTTGAAAGAGTTATAGTGATCCTGAGGCCGAGTTTTCATTGAACTGGAAGCTGTTTCCATTTTGCACCCTAAAAACACAAGAATCACATCCAGAACATTAAATTCAATCAGAAACGTATACAAATTAAAAGGACATGCACAATTCTAAGGAAGTTGCAGTGAACTCCTTTAAAAATGTTTCTTTCAGCTCATTAATGTATCAAAATACAATCAAATCTGGCTTTCAGATTTTAACAACCACAACAACTTTGAACAGTAAATGAAATGTAATAACAATGATAAAAAACGGATGAAGCAGATATCTTTAGATGCTTTTTGAGGAATTAGCAGCCAGCATGATTGATTGCACCCATATATTAAAATGAAATAGATAGTTCCTGAATCAGGATCTCTCGTATTAAGACAATTGTTATTGCCTTCATAGGGATCAATAGGACACTGTAAGTCCTCATGAATAAGACAGGCAGGGAGTGGGAGCCACGGATAAAAGTCCCACTGTAGTAACACTGAAATAGCACCAAAATGTTTGTACGGAATAATTCAGAAATTAATATCTCACCATTAGGAAGAGACATCAGCCTTTAGCAAAGAGAACTAACTCAGCACAATCACAGCAGGACCCTGTAAGGAGGCACCAAATGAGATTTAAAAAGGAATAGTGGAAGCTCCTTCCATAGCTCAATGGGTACATGCACAGCTTGGTGAGGTGCTAAGTCTGGTCTGTGCTGAGCTAGCTGGAAGATATGTGTGCAGATTTCAGGTTGGGGAAAACAGGTTAGGCTGGGCACAGGATGCATTGTTTCCTGATACTCTGCCTAAAGCTGTTTTGGCATTCACTCAAATGGTCATTGTGCATCCTGCTTGACAATTTTTTCCCTGCAATTTTCTCCCCTCTTCAAAAAGAGTTTGAATCCTTTTGTTTTCTATGGGAGAACGGTTGCTCTCCGATACCATGGGGTAAACCTGTCCTCACCTGACATCCACATACTTTTCAGCAGGGGTCCCTGGACAACAGTCAACAGGCAAACCCTAACTGATTCTCACCTTCTTTTAATCCAGAGACTTTGAGGCAAATTACAGCCCTGGCTGAGATCAGCTGCATAAAGGACCATAAAGGACCAGGAATTCGAATGAGCAAACTGTGTGATGATCATTCTCCTTGGATAAACCTGGACAGCCAGTGCAGGCAGGTTATTTGACAAGACAGGGCTTTAGAGCTGAGCATGATCCTCTCCTCACTTGAAGTGCACATGTACACATTTAAGTTAATGATAAGATTTATTGTATAGTTACAGAAGTGAAAATCTTGACTGATATTTCTTTCTCTAGCCTACAGACAGTGAGGCCAATTGTAGCATTGCTATAATCCCCCAAAGAACAGATCATCTAATTTAGTTGAGATTGTGAATTTACTAGCATTGCTTAGAACAATGGCAGCCAACCTCTTTGGTTGGTCAACAAAACAAATTCAATATTGATTGAATATTTCTTGATTTATGGCATAAACCTATGCTATTTTGTTATTTCTATGATTATTTTGTTGGCCAACCAAAATGGTGCATAGTAATAATAATAATCATCCTTGTATTTAGTATAGCATCTTTTACAGCAGGAGGACACCTCAAAGCACTTCATAAGATTTACTGTGAAGTGGAATATGTTTGTAGGCCGAAGTGCTAGCCCATTTGTACACAGCACTGTCCCACAACAGGATTGAAATGAATGATTAATTTTATTTGGGAAACACTTCACATGATGCATTTACTTAGAGACTTTGTATTGTTTTAGCTTACATTTTTTTAAATAAAAGCACCTTGTCAAGGGACCCTTAATTAACCCATCACTGGGATCATTTCAGTAGGTTCATAAAACCTGCTGGTGGCAGATCTTCTCTCTGTTCTCAATGACCACATCTGTGAAGATTGAGAACTGAATGAGGAGATCTGTGAAGATGAAGACATCTGTGAAGTCAGGCTTTGTGATATTAGATACTAGCTTTTTACTAGGAATCTCTAAGTCGCCAGTATCCCACTGATTTACCATCATTTAAAGAGGCATCAGGGGATCAGCTATCTCTAAGGTGGCCCCACGGGCAAAACTGATATAGTAAGAGCATTGCAATCATATCTGACTTGAAAATTAAAATTAAAATTGATGTAGTTCCACTTAAACCTCGTGCTTCAAAGGTCTGGCAGTGTGAGCGAAAGATGTCTTACCTGCTGAACACTGGTGAATGGCACTGCAGTGTTTGTCAGCAGCTCCCTCCTTTAATTTCCCAGATGTCGAGTGTTTCTTCTCCTGTTTATCAAGTGCGGCCCTCTTTGCTTCGAGTTTCTTTTTCCGTGCGGACTTGACAGGCTCAGCCAGTATACGGACTTCCCTGGGGAATGAGGAGAGCACCTGAATCGCACCATTCTTCATCTTCTCCTCTTGGATGTCTTCATTGCCGTACTCATCAGCGTGTGAGATTTTGTACAGTGGGAGGACATGCAGCTGCTCATCCTCCGGGATTGAGTTAACTGTGCGATTGTCTTCTTTTGTTAAAGTACAGACCTAGAAAAAAAAGGATTAGAAAAAAAACTATATTTTGTAGATTCATAGAATATTACAGCACAGAAACAGGCCATTCTGCCTATCAAAGATCATTATATCAAATGCAAGGATTATTATTATCGGCAATAAAATTCCAAATCAGTTATTTATCCTGCTGTTTTGAAGGAATAAACTGACATAACTTCAAACAAAACCCAAAAATATAAATCACCTGTGTTTCAAAACAAAATCATGAAATAGAATGAATAACCAGAAAGATGTGGGAAAATTAATCTGATCGACTGATTTTTGGTTTGAAAAGATTTATTGATTTTTGTTTTTAAAGAGTTTGAGTTTTATGAAAAGTGCGAAAGCAAATCGATATGTACGTACTACAGTGCTTCCATTCCGCATGTTGTGCTGGTCCTTGTGAGAGTGTGCACAGAAGTCGATGCAGGCAGTCACACCCGAGAAAGGCCGCCCGGACTTCAACCCAAGCCGGCAGTTTGATGCAATATTTTCATTCATAATCTAAAGAAAGGGTTTACAGTTAATATTTCATATTAATACTGCGAAGAATAGTATGATTCTGCATATACAACAATTCCCCAAAATAGGGACACATTAATGATTGCTTAGACTTACTGGATGCCCTGACTGTTGATCAATACAGTTTTTGCTTTCTTTGCAGTGGTGTTCAGACTATTGTTACAGTTTATCTGGTCGATTTCCCCCTGAACTGCACAGTTTGCAGTTCAGAGGAACTGTGGTAATTGTGGAGTCCTGTAACTTAGGGTTAGAGCACATGCCTCGCAAGTGAGAGGACCTGGGTTTGATTCCCGTGCAGGGTGAAACGTTAGGCAAGTTTCCTTACTCCACACACTCTGTGTACCTAGCAGTAAGTAGGAACCCAGTTGTTAGTCGATTAGCAGATCACTTTTCTGGGGATAATATTCCCATCAAAAATAATATAATAATTTGGTCACTCAATCCACTGTTATGGGACACTGCTGTATGTAATTTGTTGCCTCGTTTTGCCCACAAAATATACAGTCAATCCACTTTACACTATATTCTATGAAACGCTTTGAGATGTCTCGAAGACATGATAAGGCGCTATATCAAATACAAGGATTATTATTAATTGTGCTAGGTTTCATGCAGCGCTGAGGACTTCTTTGTCACGTAGGGCTGTATTGGTTGCAATTCCATTTACATGATCTCAGGTTGAGGTTCAGTGGGATTACAACAATATACGCCACATGGCTAGGAAAGGACAAGTTCCAGCTATGTGGATATCAGCGAGGACAGACTCAGGATTAACTTTGCTGCCCCCATTACCCATCAAGTCTCAATTGTCTTGGACTTGTGTATAAAAAAAAGGTTGGACAAAATATTGGTGTATAGCTGGTGCCCATAAAACTGTACCTCAGCAGAATAGGTGAGAGAATTGAATAGGGGGGAAACTGTGAATATGTCGCTAGTTACCTGATTTCCGTATGCCTCTGGTGCGAGTTTCTGGTAAACTGGGGCCACATCAGAAGCCAATTCCTGAAGGTAGCTTTCAAGCATCTCCTCCTACATCCAATTAAAAATGGTTTCTTACAGTGGGAAAGTACAAGACTAATGCAGTTACAAAATTTAAATATAACACTTTAATATTTAACATTGTGCTTTTGTAATGCAACTTTCACAAGGTGATCCTGCAAGTAATGTTTGTATCTCTTCAGCCTATGAATAAACCCCTAAATAAATGGTCCCTTTTTGTTTGCATGTTTCTGCCAGAATAATCTCAATTCCTCCCATGGAATAATTCTTAAATACAGTGGAATCCGCTTTTGACGGACACCGATTAACTCCGGATGGCGGGTAAATTGAATCAAACGCCCGTCCCCGATTCATTTGTATTCTTCACTCCAGAAATGCCTAATGCACAACTTACCTCTTTTATATCATCAGTGAGTAGTTTGAACTTTCGAGGGTACTTGCTTCGAGCAAACTTGCATCCATTGTAATACATACTCCAGGAACAGCCGAAGGAGAAAGAGGCTCCAGACCTCTCAGGATCCAGTCCTTGACACGCACAAGTACGACTGTGAGTAGATTGCACAGTTAGCCATTGTTATACTGTTCTACTGGTTATAAAAATTCCACATTTGGAGGAAAGAAAGAAAATATGCTTGCATGGAGATTATCTTTCCAATCGGAGCAATGCAAGTCCAACGGAAAGCTTTATAAACAATTTCATCCTTTCTACCCACATTAGAGAACTTTTTTTAGGAATAACTCCAGCTAGCTTCTGGAAAGAATTTTATGTAAATCACTTCAGCTGGATGGAGATTTGAGAATAAATTTTAATTTCCCAATTGAACAATCCCAAGATAATCAAGATTAAATATATATGTATTTTGTGTTCATCACAATAAAAGCAGCAGTGCTGTGATATTTTCCTTCTGTGATACGGAAGATTGTTTAATTTGTTATTAGGACAGCAAGAGATATTGGGTTAAAGGGAGGGGGGAAAAGGTTCCTCTCATATGGCTCAAGGTAGCTGGCAAACAGAAGATTTGGCAGCCACCAAGGAAGAGATATACCTCTCATTTCTCAGCTGGAAATGGGCGAGATCCAGGGGAAATTAACAACAACACCTTGCACTTTAAATCGCCCTTCACGCAGGGTAGCATCTGTGAGCGCTTAGTTAACAAAGATGAGCAGATAAGACAACACGTGACATATTTTGAAATGGTTGAGTCTCAAGTATTGTCTTGTTTCAGAGTTGCTCATTACACAGTAAATCTATAAGACATTTGATGCCACTTAACCTACTCTTCATTTAGTGCACAGCGCCTGTTGGTGGGAGATCCATATTTTCGCAGTGTCTGCGTGAGTTCCTGATACAGTTTATCCGCCAGCGTCCGAGGGATTCCTTCCCACGCCAGGATCAGGATGACAATGACAGCCGTTTGGCAGCGGTGTCCGGCACGCTGCCTCACTAAACACAGCAACTTCTCTTCTTCGTTACTTCTCCTTATCACCTAAAAAATGGGTTGTATTAGCCTTCAACATTTAAACAAAGCAGCAAAAAAAAGTCATAGATTTAAGAAAGTAATTTCACTTCTAGATTTCACACAGAATATTTCCACTGTACACAGACAAAGAATTAAAAATAAGATTGGCTGTTGCAAAACCCCATAATGAAAGCTTCCCTTTCCTTTGGCGTACCTTCCCAGCTGGGATGCCCCATTCACATCTTTTTCCATTTGTGTCCAATCGGCATGCAACAGCCATTTCCCTCTCTTCCTCTCCTAGTTCTCACTGATATTTATATAGCGCCCTTTATGCAGGGCAGCGACTAGGAGTGTTCAATAGTGGCGGATCATGACGCTGAGCCATGGGGAGGGGGGAGGGAGGAGGTGACCGTAAGCATAGTCAAAGAGGAAGGTCTTCAGTCGTGATCTAAACGAGGAGAAGGAGGGGGCAAGGCTGAGGTATTGGACGAGAGAGTTCCAAAGCTTTGGTACACAGTGGCTGAAAGCCCGGCCAATGGTGGAGTGGAGGGGACGAGGGACAAGCAGGAGGCCAGAGCCAGCCGAGCGCAGGCAGTGGGTAGTGGAGAAGGGAGAAAGGAGATCAAAAAAGTAGGGAGGTGCCAGGGTATGAAAGGATTTGTAGACGAGTGAGAGGATCTTGAAAACAATCCATTCTGTGATAGGGAGCCTGGCGAAGAATGGTGTAATGGGAGTACGGAGCCTAGTGTTTCCTTTATTGTTTACTGAGGCAGAGTTCCACAGGTAGTGCCTGCCTTTCGATTCCTCACTCAAGTGGCTGTCATTCATGTTTAAGCTTAGATAGTGAATGCTGGGAGGCTTTTTGATCCTAAGGGATATTATTAGCACAGCCAAGTCCACTATTCTCAGCTGATGTCCACATACATGCAGTATCCAGCAGAAGTTACTGCACAGTGATCAGGAATGAGAACACAGGACAATTTTCCCCCTTCCAAGTGCAGGGATTCTAAAGCAAATTGTAGTGTCCCTACTGCTGTACCAGCGTAGATATACCAGTTCAGCAGTCACTGAGGATCATAGGAAGCCCAGATCTGATCGGCCATTTTTAAACAACTAATTGTTGCACACATCATGTGAACCCTCTGAGCAGAAAAGAGTACTCTGTGGACAGCAGCGGTGTTCAAAAACGGCAAACTGGGCAAATTTAACATGAATAATAACCAGCTAGAAGGCAGACAGTAGTTAGTACTCAGCAAAACAGCTCCACAATTGCAATATTTCTATACTATGGGGGCTATTCTGCTCCATTTGAGCAATGTAATAAATCTATCAATGTGTGTTTCCAATGAGAATTTCCCAAATTGTCCAGGATCACACTCCTAAGGACCAGAGCAGAATAGCCCATACAGCAGTTTACTCTGACAGTACAATGGAAAAGTACACTGGGAGATGCACAAAACTACACAGAAGCATTTTGATAAAAAAAACAAATTCGGAACTCTGCATATACATTCAAACTATTGGAACAAAGATTTAGTTCCCGTACAATTCTGATTTGTACTGTGGAATAGCATACATGGAACATTAAGCTCATTAAAATGCCAGTTAGGTTTAGTAATACAGCACACCAGTATTGAATCATGCTAACACGTCGTGCAGCTAGCTTCTAACTTACCCATTTTGCAATGGGACAGCCCTGAGAACTTTTCCCTTCTTTTCCCGTATATATAACGACTTCTATCCTTATTGCTTTCCCTTTCTCTCCATACCTATTGAGATATTAAAGAAGCCGGTTCTGTTAGTAGAAGTTATATGTAAACACAGCAAACAGTATCTCTGAAAATCAAAATGTTAGCCTGGGACAAAACAAATGTTTACAAGTCAATGATTCCTGTAAAATACAGCCGTTCTACGCAAGTATAAATCAATACAACATTCTGAAATATGAGCTACAAACTTGCTGTGTAGTTTATGCAAATATACTGAAGATGTTTAGTATATAGAGAACATCATCAGGAGAGTGATGGAGGGCAGGACACTGGACTTATTTAAGATAACCTTGAAGCTGTAATGGGAAGATGGTAGGGTATGTTTTGTGGAAGAATGAGGTCAAATGGTTAAGCAGGATGCAACTCTCCGGGGAGAGAGTGCGCATTCCATTCTAACAATCTATCGATGCGATTTCCATGTGTAAGTGGGATCTCATCTCTTCAGAAGTAAGTGGCCCACTTTGTGTGACTCTGAGCTGTGCAGATCAGGAAAGTCCGGGATTTTCTGACTCACACAAAGCATTGTGAAAATGTGGAATGTGAAATGTGAATGCAGAATTCCTTGGGATGTTGAAAAAAGGAGCTAATAATAATAATCCTTGCATTTGATTTAGTTTTGTGTCGTTGAGACATCTCAAAGTGCTTCACAGAATATATTGTAAAGTGAATTCACCGTGTATTTTATTGGAGAAACACGGCAGCCAATTGCGCACGACAATGTCCCACAAACAGTCATGGATTCAGTGACCAAATTTTCTTTTGAGGAGGGATTATTACCCTTGGAAAGCTCTCCGCCAATCTACTAAGAACCGTTAGGTAATTTACTGCTAGGTAAACAGCTGTGTGGAACAAGGAAACTTGCCTAAGGTTTTGTCCTGCCCCGGAATCGAACCCAGGTCCTCTTGCTTGGCGAGACGAACACGCTAACCAGTATGCTATGGGACTCTACATAGGCACAGAGAGTACAACTAGAACTAGTGCAGGGAGTTAATTAATCCTTCAACCAGACTGACTGATGAGAATGGCAAATTGGGTCTGTTGCCTGAAGGATGTTGCTACCGATGATACTATACCCCAGCATGAGTTGCAATCTTCAGAAGAACAGACAATGAGATTGTACTTCTGTTTCCATTTTACTGTGTTTTAAAACAGCGCAGTTGTGGCAAAAATCACTTTACAAAAGACAAGGGATTAGGAGAAGTGACAAAAGGGCATAAACTAATCTCTTAAACACAGAAGAGATTACAATCAGTTAATTCCAAATTTAATTAAATAGACACATGCCACAGGCTTCTTCTTTCATAACTTGTTGCTCAAGACTTTTAGACTCATTCAAGGGCCCTGACATCAAATTTTAATCTTTAATCCTTGCTTTTTTTTGATATACATCATTGAGATGTCTCAAAGCGCTTCACAGAATATATTGTAAAGTGGATTTCATGGGCGAAACACAGCAGCCAATTGCACACAGCAATGTCCCACAAACAGTTGTGGATTGAGTGACCAAGTTTGTTTTGAGGAATTATTATCCCTGGAAAGTGATCTAACTAACGATTCCTACTTACTGCTGGATAAACAGAGGCGCGCGGAGTAAAGAAACTTATCGAATGTTTCACCCCACCCAGGAATCGAACCCAGGTCCTCTTGCTTGAGTGCACTAACCCAGTCTGTAAAGTGTATCAATTCTTACATGTCACGAGGAATGTGAGCTGATGACTTCTTGTCATATAATAGCAAAGTTTCTTGCAATAAAATCATGAAATTTTTTTTATATAAGGTTCTCACCTGTCTTCAATCATCTCCCGTACTGCTGCAACATTGGGTCCTGCGCCAAGGTGGGTGTAATATGGACCTTCGTCTTTCTCTATGATTTGTTCTGTAATGGGCAATAAGAAGCCAGAATACATCAACAATGCACACTTCCCAGCAATTTCACATTTTGATTTTTTAACTGAAGTTTTTTTCTCCATTGTCAGAGAAAAAAAATGATAAGAGATACCTGTACATTTACTGGTATCTGCATATGCCACACACTGTAACTTAATCTAGCTTGGTTGGTCTGCACATAATGTATTGGACGGCACCCATTATACCTACTTCATTTGCCTTTAAAAATAGTCACACAGTGGACATACTTTGAAGGGCTTTGAGATGATGTTCAATGTGATAAAATGCAGATTCTTCTCCCATTTCAATCTCACCAATGACAACATATATTTACCTGGGTTTGAATCCATTTTGCCCTAAGGGAGGTTAAGTCTTGTCTTCAAGGGCCTATTTTAAATAACCATTTCAACCCAGTTCTAAGTACACACAACACTGCTCCTGACATTGGACCTAAATTGTTAATCTTGCTCATCAAAGTCACAAGGATGACTGTGTGGGAATTGGAAATGCCAAACCGCTGCACTGGATGATGCTTGTCTGAGTCTAGGGTAAACATATTGTTTTACAGCTGTGTGCAATTGGCTGCAGGGTTTTGCCCACAAAATACACAGTCAATCCACTTTACAGTATATTCTGTGAAGTGCTTTGAGACGTCCCAATGAAGTGATAAGGCACAACATCAAATGCAAGGATTATTATTATTATTGTTGGGCCTATGTGGCTTCACACTGAATGTACTATGAATGAACTGGGGGGAGTATTTGATGCTCACACTGAATGACAAAAATAGAAAAAATGCTCAATCCGCAGCACTTACATTTCTCATCTTAAAATAAATAACTAACCAAAGTAGAAATACAAGGCAAGTTTCTAATTATATCAATGTTCAACAGATGGAAGAATCTATTTATGGTAATAACACCAAAGTAAAAATGTCTTATTTAGGATTAGAATTAGAAACATGTGATACTGGAAACAGCCAGGGGTTGAAACACAGGCTCACAATTCGCAAAGTGTAAAGGCCCTTCAGACACAAGCTGTGTGACTGGGCTGCATATTGTGTTGGTCGTTAAATACTAAGGACCACAGTATATCTGTGAAGCACTTTGAAACTCTGTGATGATGTGATAAGGCACTATATCAAATGCAAGGATTATTCTTATTTCGTCCGGAACTGATTCTTGCCTTGGGAATAGTTCAGTACTCGATCAAAACATACGAGGTTAATTCCTGCAATCTCTGCTAGTCTGTTTAATGTTGTGTTCCTTTTCGTAATATTCCTGCTGGGATGCTAGATTTCTACTGCTCAAGGCTGCTGCTGATATCCTCTGTTTCTGTCTTTTAACACATTCTTTCTGTCAAGGAAAGGATCAATACAAGGTTTTGTGAGATAATTATCACTAGATCTTTATAAGTTAAGCTACAGAAAGTTCTATATGGTGCATCATTTATGTAATACCCTTTAAACAACTCTGACCTCCACTGTAATGGCCACAAGTTAAAAAGCAATGTAAGTATAGTTGAGTAACAGTTTTAATGCTTGTTTATAGCTCTATTGAATGAAGGACAGTCAATGCACTATATAGTCTGTCCATGTTCTTCAACACATGGCTACAATGCTGATTATTAGCTTCCGATTTCCAATCATTTAAAATCCAATCATGGTAAAATAGATGAAGTAAAGTTTTGAAAAATAACTTTTAAAAGGAAAGATTAGTCACTGCATTTAGTTTGCAGTCTTCATGCCACAAGACTATCTGTTCCAGGAGGTTGACTAGCAGTGCCAAACCTCTGAAATCTGAGATATGATGCTAAATGCTGGCTCATGCCAATAGCACAGTTACATTATAACAGTTACATATGGGACAGTAGCTGCTGATCACTCCTGAGACTGATGTAAATATTATCCTTAGCCTTAAGACCAATACATTTTTCACAATCTTTAAATTCAGTCTTAATTAGGAAGTAGGTTCTTTCTCAGAGCTGCAGGAAAAAAAAGCTTCCAAATTGAGGCTAAATTTAAGAATATTCCAAAATTCTGCACAATGTTAAAATTAAAGATTTTTATTTGCTCAGGCGGGTGTCTGACATAAGTCATAATAATACCCATTGTATTAATATCCCTGACTTTGATAAGTACAAAAACAGCCTTCCCAAAACATTTGGTATTGTTGTCATCTGGCTTTTTAAAAAAAAACTCTCTCACTTCTAGTACTTTTCACAAAATTTGGTACATTTTATGGTCCTCGCTACTCTTAGTTTTATGGTATATGAGAAGATATAAAAATATCATAGCCAACCATCAGCTATTCCAGATTGACAAATGGAACTGTTAGCAGAAAATCAATGAATTAACATACTATAGTGATCCTGAGATCAAGCCAGATCTGGTGGGTAACTCTGGGGTTTGATACACAACAACAACAAGATTACATTTGTATTCACGTTGGGAGGACGTCCCAAGGCGCTGGACAGAGTACAGCATTTCAAACCCGAGCTGGGATTGGGGGTTAAGGGAGGGGAGGGGGGGTGGCCGATGGCATGGTGGAAGCGAAGGGTCTTTAGGCAGGACTTGAATAAGGCCAAGGAGGGGGCGAGGCGGAGTGACTGAGGGATGGAATTCCAGAGGTTGGGGGCAGAGTGGCTGAAGGCTCTCCCGCCAATGATGGGGCGGGTGGGTTGGGGGATGTGGAGCAGGCTGGAGCCGGCTGAGTGGAGGGCACGGGTGGGTTGGTAGGGGCTTAGGAGGTCGCAGAGGTAGGGTGGGACAAGGCCATGGAGGGCTTTGTATGTGAGGACCAGGATCTTGAACTGGATCCTCTGAAGGATAGGGAGCCAATGGAGTCGGGCGAGAGTGGGGGAGATGGGGTCACAGAGTTTGGTGCGGGAGAGGACGCGGGCTGCAGAGTTCTGGATTATCTGCAGCCTGTGGAGGGAAGAGTTGGGAAGGCCGACAAGCAGGGCGTTTGCATAGTTGAGCCTGGAAGTGATGAAGGCATGAACAAGAGTTTCAGCGGCCTGAAGGTTGAGGTAGTGGCGGAGTCTGGCGATGTTACGGAGGTGAGGGAAGGCAGAGCGGGTCATGGCTTGAATGTGGGGGAGAAGAGACAATTGAGGGTCATACAAGACACCTAAGTTCCTGACTGGCTTGGTGAGTTGTAGTGTGCAACCATGGAGGTTGATGTTGCCAGAGCCTGAGGTGCAGAGGTGCTGGCGTGAGCCAATCAGGAGGGCCTCAGTCTTGTTCACATTCAACTGTAGGAAATTTGCCCTCATCCAGGACTTGATGGGCAGTCTGTCAGGACAGCAGTGGTCCTGGAGTTGAGGGTGGTGGCAGATAGAGTTGGGTGTCATCCGCATACATGTGGAAGTTGACCCCATGTTTGTGGATGATGTCACCAAGGGGGAGCATGTAGATATTAAAGAGGAGAGGGCCAAGGACAGAGCCCTGGGGGATGCCAGATGTGACAGTGCGGGGGCTGGAGGAGAAACCATTAGAGGCAACAAAGTGGAGATGGTGAGAGAGAGAGATAGGAATCGAACCAGGCAAGGACAGGTCCGCGAAGATTGGGTAAAGCAGAGAGGCAGTGTATGAGGATGGAGTGGTCGACAGTGCCGAAGGTGGCAGAGAGGTCGAGGAGGACAAGGAGGCAGAGGGAGCCCTGATCACAGATGTTCAGAATGTCATTAGTGACTTTGACCTGGGCTGTTTCCGTGCTGTGGGCCGGATTGGAGGGGTTCAAAGAGGGAATGGCGAGAGGTTGATGACACTGGACAGGAGGGGTCCAGAAGGTGGAGCTGGGAAACGAGGAGAGAGGTGGGGATGGGATCGTGGGAGCAGGCAGTGGGTTTGAGTTTGCGGACAATCACGGTGAAGGAGGAGGGAGAGATAGGGTCGAAGGAATATAGGGGGGGATGGGTGGGGGGTGGGTCATGAGGGAGAGGTGATGTGGGGGTAGCTGTGGATGTTGCTGAGGTGTCTGAACGTATCCCTCGATTTTAGATTCGAGGAAGTCCTGCATCTCCTCCAGTTGGGAGTTTGAGGAGAGGATGGGCGAGGTATGGGAAGGTGGACGGAGGAGACGGTTAGCGGTGGAAAAGAGAAGCCAGGGGTTGTCCTTTGCCTCCAAGATAACCTTGGAGTAGAAGGAGGATTTGGCGGAAGCAAAAGCGCAGCGGTAGATCTTGGTGTGGTGAAGCCAAATCTGCCGATGGACCGTTAGTTTGGATTTGGTCCAGGTGCGTTCGGCAGCTCACACTTGTGCCTTGAGGGAACGGAGATGGCTGTTGTACCAGGGGGATTTACGGGAGTATGAGGCAGTACGGGAGGTGAGGGGGGCAAGTGAGTCCAGTGTGGAGGAGAGGGAGTTGTGGAGAAAGGAGAGTGAGGAGGGGAGATTGGTTAGTGAGGGCCAGAGGTGTAGGAGTTCAGATGACTCCAGGGCAGTGGAGAGGGAGAATTTTTTTTTCCATAGATGGTATGTAATGGTGGAGGGTTGGGAAGGGGGAAGGGGTACAGAGGTGTTATAATAATAATAATAATAATAATAATAATAATCCTTGCATTTGATATAGCGCTTTTCACGTAGGAGGACGTCCCAAAGCGCTTCACAGAACACACTGTAAAGTGAATTGACTGTATATTTGTGGGCGAACGCGGCAGCCAATTGCGCACAGCAATGTCCCACAAACAGTCGTAGATTGAAAATGACCAATTTTTATTATTGTTTTTGGTGTTGAGGGAGATGAAGTGGTGGTCCGAGATGGCTTTATCGACGATGGTGAAGTCCGAGACGGTGAGGCCACGGGTGATCACCAGGTTAAGGGGGTGGCCACGGATGTGGGTGGGGGAGTGGATGAGGAAGGAGAGGTTGAGGGAAGAGAGGAGGGAGGAGGTCGGCAGCGGATATATTAGGAAATCAACCAGGAGGAGTAAATGTTTCTATATAAACCCTCTTGAGGTAAATGTTACTGGTGCAACAGTTTCACTTTTGAATAACAGTCCGAAAGACGTCAACTGAGCTGGGTGGTTCTCTAGTGTCCAGGAGAGGGGGCTGTACCACCATCAAGATGGAATACATTTAAACAGACTTGGCACTGGTTAAGACCCCAAACTTTTGATCTGTGTGAATGACCCAAAGGGGGAGAAAAAAAAGGCCCCCCCCACCCCACTCCTGCACAGAGAAGTTCAAAGAATTGTTTTAGTTTTTTTTTAAATTGCTGCTGCTTGTAATGATGCTGGCGTGGGTGTATGGGAAATTCAATATGAACATAGATGTTGATCAAATTGTAGATAAAGCTTTTAGAAAACGTCCACGTGGGCTATTTTCCTCCTCATTGTGAATCTGTTGTGAATACGTTCAGTAATTATTTTTGAAAGATTTTAGACTTGAAACATAGTTGTTATTTTAACATTTCGCTCTTAGTTTTTAACAATATTAGCATTCTTAACATTTGTTAATGCAAGTTTAACACTTGGCTTTTGTAATAAATGGTGTAGGTGAAATCCTCAAAAACCGATTGTACTGTAGGTACAGCTTTACCTTGTAGCATTCTTATGCCATTTAAAAGTACAATTAGTAAATAAATTATTGTTTATGTTCCGAAAATCAGTGATTTAATACTGCAGAAAGTACATTGTAAAGTACATTATAAAATGGAACCATATTACAGCTATTAGCAGGTATAATCTCTCCCCCAATCCCTCCGCCTTGACCCTCCTTCCCTCTGGTTCTTTCGACAACTGTCTTAAATCTGTGTCCTCTGGTTACCGACTCACCCGCCAGTGGAATGTTTCTTTCTGTTCATCCTAACGAATCCCCTCATAATTTTGAACACCTCTATTGAATCTCCCTTAACCTTCTCTGCTCCAAGGAGAATAATCCTAGCTTCTCTAGCCTCTCTTCATAATTGAAGTCCCTCATTCCTATCCTGTATGCTTTTTTTAAAAACAGCTTTATCTACCTGTCCTGCCACCTTCAAAAATGTGCTTACGTGTCTCTCTGTTCCTGCACCCCCTTTAATATTGTACCATCTAGCTTCTATTGCATCTCCTTATTTTCCCTCCCAAAATGCATAATTTTGCCATTCTCCGCATTAAATTTCGTTCGCCACATGTCTGTCCATTTCACCTGTCCATCTTTGTCCTCTTGCAGTGTGCTACTATCCTCCTCACCGTTTACTACTTTTCCTAGTTTCATATCATTTGTAAACTTGGAACTTGTACTCTCTTTACCCAAGTCCAGGCCATTGTCAAGTTATTGTTGTTGCTGTTAATTTCAGATTGGTGAGAGCATTGTAGTAGAATTACCCAAGAACAGCTAATTATAAGCAACCAAGATTGTGACTTCTTTTTCAGAGTCTGTTTCCTGTCTGTCTCTCACACTTCCATCTTTCTCCCTCCCATACAATCAGATAGAGAGTAGAGAACACCAAGACTTTTGGTATAGTAGTTGGGACAGGCCAGGCAACAGGGTTTACACGGGAACAAAAATCTGTAGGAGCAAGCTGTTGGTAGTGAGCATAACTATGGTTTGTGAATGAGTCTCTGTCCTCCATTTGTCTCCACGTATGCTTGTGGCTTTCCTCCCTCACTTCCTATCTCTGTCCCCTCTCTTCCCATCCCGGTCTCCCTCTTTATCCCTTTTATCTTCAGTTTTGTGGGTCACTCTGATCACATTTACTTACACCTGTTTCTCTTCTTTCCATCTCGCTCTCTTTTAGTTCTCATTGAATCATTCTTTGCCTCTACCTCTTTTCTTATCTGCATATTGTATGTGATTTACTCTTCTCTCTCACAAAATCACTCTTCGTCTTTTATCTCTCATACACACATTCACATTGTTGCTATGCAGACTCCAGAACCAAAAACTATAGGCAAAAGAACAAAGTAGTGATAGAAGTAAACAATTGCACAAAATATTGAAATACAGAGAATGCTCAGACCAGAGAATTCTACACCACCAATTTAATTGTTAATCTAGTTTCAGTGAATGTTCAATCATCCTTTTCTATCTTACCTAATCAATATATCAATTGCATAAAAATGGTTCAGGTATCCTATTGCAGTTGACACTATCATACATTTATCTGCATTAAAATCATCCACTGATCCTTATTTCATCAACTTAATTTGTCCAAATTCCTTTGAATATTTCCTACACTATTCAACTGACTAATTAATTTAATGTGTTATTGATGTATAAATAGTGGAAACGCAGAACAGATTCCATCAAAACTCTACAAGTCATTCATCCATCTCCATTTCTCACAGATAGTATAGTGTAGTGTTACTGTTAGGCAACTGTTCAATCCAACTAGTTAAATTCCCTTTAATTCCTCAAGCTGTATGATTTTCAAGTCTTATTGTTCAAATATGTCAAATATGACACTCTACAACAACAACAACTTGCATTTATATCGCGCCTTTGCACAGGGTAGCGGCCTGGAGCACTTAGATGTACCCCCAAACAAGCAAAAGGGAAAAATGGAAATGTGACTTTGGCCAAGCCTTTCTGGTGGACAGTGAGAGTCAGACAATTCTGAATAAATTTGCAACTAAACCAAAGAAATACATATCGTGGCACTCCACCATCCCTACTGCAACCCTTTAGTCTTACTCCATCTAGCCTGTTAGAATTTAAATACCTCTTTCAATGCAAGACATTAAGCCTATACATGTTTCTGTCCTAAGGGATGCAAGAAACAATCTATCGAAAATATCATTCACAGTAATCCAAATTGGCACTCTATATAGTATTAAGAGTGCTGGCATTCATTCTGATTGCAGGCTCCAAGTCCTGTTAGACAGTCCTCAATCAAGCCAAACTTGGATAGAGTACTGATTTGGATCATTGCCATTGTACATTAAATAAACCAAGACAAGCAATGGACAGATAATAGCTACTTACCAACACAGTCACACATTGGAAACTCAGATTGACCTTTCTTTGAAGGGGTATCTAGTAATTTTTTTGTGGGTGTGTCCAGAAACTTCATAGGAGATTCAAGGAAGCTGTTCAGTGTGGTCGCCTGGGAAGGAGCATTGCTTTTGGTGGGGGTTGTCTGACCAAATGATCCGCTTTGATTGTCTTCTGTATTTAGATTAGATGTGGATAAAACTGTAACGCAACCAGATGTTTCTACTTTGATACATCGGGGAGACTTTGACGTAAACACTGAAAGCCCTTCTGAAGAACTGGATGATTGGTGAATAGTTGGAGCTATTTGTGCCTCTATGGAGACGGATGCACTTTGTTGGTCCGTAGCCCTCAGATTACTTTGGCCTTGTTGGGTACTTGGTCTATTAAGTGGTAAATCACCTTCCAGGTCTACTTGTCCCTTCTCTGCATCCTGCTTATTAGGATTCTCTAACACGTCTTCTCTATGTGTTGTCTCACCACTTGGTCGTACCTGAGAAATACAGTTATATTGAGCTTGTAGCTCTGAGATATTATCAGAGTTACTTTTTGACTGTTTTAATGATTTAACTTTTGTTAAAATTGACTGATTATAGGAATTTACTTCATTTGGGCATGAACATGGAAGCACTGTTTCAGCACATGTCCATTTTGGGGTATCGGTTTCCTTTGCTGTACACTGTGAGGAGGACATGGAGGGTGAGTGTGGAGAATGTGTTCTGAAAGAATTAGAAGGAAGGCTATCTGTTGGGAAACATTGCTTCTCCTGGGAGACAGACTGCATGACTTCACCTTTTTCCTGAGACATTTGTGGAGGGTTGCTATAAGATTGCATTTCTGATGACTCTGGCTGAATTTGTTGATGTATTTCTTGATTAAGGTTCGCATCCTGAATCTGCTGTTGACATTGAACATCACTATACTTTCGGAATTTTTCTAAATTCTGATTTTGCTGATGCAAGTGACCCAGACACTGCTGCTCTTGCTGTCTGAATGAGGTGGCCTGGTTTGGTTGCTGTGTGAGCTGATGTCCTTGTTTCGGTTGCTTCTGTTGCCGCTGTTTATACGGTTGCATTCTGGATGTAGCTTGTGGCGTCTGGTTGTGCTTGTGCGAAGGTGCCTTATTCTTGCGTTGCAATGCGAGGGTCAGTTGCTTGGGTAGAACTGGTACACGCTGTTGATGTTGAAGGAACATCTTTTTTTGTTTTGGCCAACCTTTCTGGTGCACATCATCATGTAACACATCCTTACATTCTTTGTGCTTTAACCAATTTTGGCAATACTGTTGTGACTCTATGATGGCAGCCAGTTGTGTAAGCTGAGCTGCTGCTTCTTCTTCAGCTTTATTTCGAACCCCAGTAATTAGGCATTTCGACACCTTTCCATTCTCTACATCACAGTTTTCCCTATCGCTGAATTCTAATGATTGGGTCGTCAAGGTTGAATAATTTATGTTGTTTGGTAGATCTGAAGAGAGATTTGGGAAGAACTGGCAGTTTCCGTTAACCTTTTTTTCTTCTAAATGAGCAGAATTTACCATTTCTGTATGATTGACGGATATTCCTGGATATGAAATAGCTTCCAAAAGTATTTCTAAAGGGCTGATGTTTGGTTTGGATGGATGAGTTTCTCGTGGTTCATGTTCACTTTCCACAGGGTTGTCTATACTGTTAGGTTGGCATAGAGGTGAAAGCTGGTAGGTCAGTCTGCTCTCTGGAGGGAGTGTGCCATTGGACTTCTGCTGTTGCTCATTTTGTTGTTGTAGCTGTTGTTGCTGGTGAGGTTCATTTGCCTCCATTGGTAACGATTGTCCCAGTGAGGAGGAGAAACATTTCTGTTCACAAACAGATGGACTGGAAGAAACAAACCGCTCCCTAATTTCAATTGTTGGTTTTGATACCTCCGCTAAAATTTGTGGTGGGGTGACTGATAATTGAGTAAGGGCCTCAATTGCTATTGCCTGCTGTATGCTTATGTTCTTTTTCTTAACCATTGACAGGATACTGGGAGAATATTCGTACAGTGTTGAAGATTTATGTAAAGCACCATTTTCAACACAAGTGTCCTTTCTGAGAAAGGGAGAGGCGGTCCTTCCTTCCTCACACATTGTCTTTGCACTTTCATCAACCACATTCTGATAGTCAGGACAATCAAGGCCTTCACAGTTACAACTCGTTGACTCCTTCTCCACAGAAAGACTCCTGCCACTCTCTGACTGTGCATAGGAAACAACAGACACCAAAGTGCTTAAGTCATTGTTGAGTTTGATAGTGTTGTTCAACGGATGTGTTGAATTACAAAAGTACTCTGTCTTATTGGTTACCAAATCCAAACTCTCACCTAGGTCAAATTTCTTCAATGGCAGAGAAGACTCATTCAAAGAATTAATGATGTGTTTTGCCACATTTGAGAAAGGGTGTGCAAAGAGTGTTTGGGCCTTGGGGGAAGAATCACTGTCAATTATGCTAAAGTCTACATCTTCATTCTTTGTCAAATTATCCAACTCTGCTGTGAAAGTCTTACAAATGTCTCCATTGACATGGAGACTCTGTATCTGGCCTTCAGTACATTCATCCCTTTCAGCTGTCGTAACTTCCTCCTCAGTGTGCAATCTGTGTCCTGGAAAAGGCCTTGTACTCTGCTCTAGCCCGTGTTCTTCATCTTGGTTGGAAATTCCTTCTTCCATCTGGTCTGACTTTGGGCCATCCACTTGACTACCGTCAGAATCTGCCTGCATAAGAGGGAAAAGGAAAATAAATAATTAGGCTGGGCACCATACTTACTCCGTGACCCTCTGTAAGCAGTAGCGAATTATTCCATTCATTCTTAAAATGAACATCTTCTCCAAAACAATGCAACACAATTCAAAGTAATAAATACAAGGTCTTTTGTGGAGTCTTGTAGCTCAGTGGTTAGAGCACTTGCCTTGCAAGCGAGACACCTGGGTTCAATTCCAGGCAGGGCGAAACCTTGGGCAAGTTTCCTTACTCCACACACCTAATAATAATCCCTCCAGAAACAAAAAAAATAATAAATTGGTCATTTTCATTCCACGACTGTTTGTGGGACACTGCTGTGCATAATTGGCTGCTGCGTTCTGACCACAAATATATGGTCAATTCACTTTACAGTATATTCTGTGAAGCGCTTTGAGACATCTAGAAGATGTGAAAAGCGTTATATCAAATGCAAGGATTATTATTATTATAAGAAGTATAGTGAAATTCTGTTAATTGAATATTTATTTTAACAGTGAAAACTATTCAATAATCTGAACTATTCATATAACCGGACTAAACATAAGAAGAGACTTTTCTCCCGGACCTTGAGCCAAGTGATTTTTGATACAAAAAATAGGTCCTGCGAAGAACGGATAAATATCCAAGTTCTTTCTTTGCCGACATTATTAGTCTTCAAATGATATATTTTTGCTTACAGTTTTTATTCACCTTACAATAGTGCAGAATCAAGCAATAATATAAACTTGGTTTCAGACTCGGTTTTCAACAGCTAAATGTTACTGCTAAAACAAATGTATTTGAATTTATAATAGAGTTCTGTTTAATACAACTCCACCATTAAACTAATCTTCCCTTTTCTATTTGTTTGCTACTACTACAATTGACTTTAAAAAAAGTGATCAAGTATTGACCTTAACTATAACATTAATCAGATGTCCATTATTTTCCCCAAAACTGTATTACAAATGATAGACAGATGCTATACAAAATTACATTTGGATAGTGCCTTTCACGTTGGGAGGATGTCCTAAGGCATGGAAATCAAAACTTTATGTGGTAGAGTGGTCCAAGTTGACCAAATACTGTGAAACATAACTAGTACTTTTCTTACTACTGGTAAGCTACACAGTTCACTTTTCTTATTCAAATAAAATAATGATCATGTGATACCAACTTTTGCATTTGATATTTTGCATTATCATGTTGAAATGGCCCAAAGTGCCTGACAGGGTTTACCGTGAAGTGTAGTGACTGCATATTTGTAAGCAACTCTAGCCGCCAATTTGCGCATGGGAATGTCCCACAAACAACCATGAAGTGAATGACCAGTTTAACTGAAGTATTATTGACCACTGGGAGAAAACTCCCTTCGCCTTTCAAGTAAGCAATGGAATCTTTAACATCCACCTGAACAAGGAAATAGGACCTTATAATAAATAATAATAATCCTTACATCTGATATAATAATCCTATGTAATATAGTAAAACTCACATAAGCCTGATCTATATAAATCATATAATTGCCTAAAGTCGTACATCTGCCCAAGTCCCATTGAATTTATTATTAAACCCACTTAACGTTATCTGCACTAGTCATATTAACAATTGCTCAACTAGTAACGTTACTACCACACTTGCCACTACCGAACTTAGTGGGTTAAAACTTTGTTTCCTATGCCCACTTCAAACAGAACACCCAACAGACGCACCCTGACCCTCTCTGCATCAACGTGAAAGCACATGGCAGTGGGGTGAGTGGGGGGCTGAGACAGGAAATAGCATCATTCTGATCATGTGGTGAGCGAGTGGCGAGGAATGCCTGGCCCAATGGAGAGCAAAGGGAACCCTGCATTACATGCGTATGTACCATGCTTGAGGCAGTATACACAGTGCAATGCAGAAGGACCACATGCACAGTCCAGAATAGTGAACAAATACAGAAGACAATCCATTTAATAGTATATCCTGGGAAGCGCTTTGAAATGTTTCAATGACATGATAAGGCACTATATCAAATGGAAGGATTATTATTGTTATGAAACAACAAAGGCACAATTTTGTCTCCTAAAATGACAACTTTGGATTGTGAGGTGCTTACAAGTTTTGGTAGTTAACTAAAGATTTAGATTATGTGACATGCCCATCTTCATTATTACCAGATGATTTACATTGAAAGAAATCAGTTTAGCCTTTAAGTAAATACAAAAAACAATACCCAGAAATATAGTGTTCAGTGCTTCTTTCCAGTTTACAATTGGTTTCTGTACCAAAGAATGAAAATTGGCGGCAGAGGAGAAATGAACTTGAACAACTTAAATGGCCATTCATTATCTCTTTATCCCTCCCCACAACAGACTCACAAACAGTCTTAAAAGTAGACAAATAATCAGCTTTGATTCACGATTTTAGTTTATAGACATTTGTTCTGATGTTAAAAAAAAGTAACAAACACAGAGGTTCTGGGGGACCTAACGGGAGGTTCCTTCTGTCAACTGTGGAGCACAAAAAATACAGAGATCTCCAAACAAGAGCTTTTGTGGCATCTCAAATGCCTTATGTGCATAAATGCCACATAAGCACCAAGGAAGACTCGATGTTAAGCTAATTCATTCGGGGTTGGTTGAAAGCCAACATTTCTATAACAAGAAAAACTGCATTGCATATACCAGCTGTCTTCAAATTGTGTACGAAATGGAGGCTGAGCACAAATCAATGCAGGGTGGAAAGCGGAATTCACAAATGAAGGCTTAATTGGCCACACTGCAAAACAACCCATTCCCAAGAAATTCCTCAATCAGGAGCCAATGTTAGTTACTCTTTGCCAGATATTCTGTCTCTCCTCCATCAACCACTGGACCACAAGAATAAGGAGAAACATAAAACCCTTTTTTTAAAAAAACTCATAAATAAGTTGTCGCAAATTAATGAGCTTTAAGCAAACAGTTATAAGGATCATATAATATCATCAATACATGACTTGAAATAGGACCAAGACTGCTACACAAAGGCAAGAGGAAAGGAATTCAGAAACCTACAACTGTCTTTAACCCTATTGAACTATTCAGCCAGTCTATTAATCTGTGGCAACACAATCCCTCTGGAACACTTCCAAAGCATCGTCCAAATGTGTGTGAAACAGCATCCCAGGAGGCATGTGATCAGAACCTCAAAGGCAAGTATTCCTTAACAAAAAGTACCCGCATGTAACTGAAAGAGAAGTCTTATGTGTCGGCACAAAGCAAATGCTTCCAAATAATTTTAAAATATATATATTTTAGATAATTTTGTCTTGTTTTTCTGCATCTCTTCTTCCCCTTCCCCTCTTTTGTTTTGTAATAAAATACATCAAGGAGAATCTTAAAAAATTGTAAAGAACAAAGACATAAAAGTATTCTTTAACAAGAATAGTCATGCAAACTAATCCTGTCTTTGTTATGGTTCACATGTCTATAGAAGATGGAACAAAAGAAGTGTTGCCAAAAGTCTTGATCAGAGTATTAACGTTTTAAAAATGGGAACTAGTTATTCTTTATTACCTGAATCTAGCTTTTTAATATGTACTCACATCTTGTCAAGTGTCAGAGACTCCAGCAATGTCGTTTGAAATGCAGAACTCCACACTGTCAGAGCTTTTAATCCGATATCAGAGGCTTAGCATGCAGCTGATTGTAAGAAAGAAGCTCCACCCTTGACAGGCAAGCCTAGAATCCTCTCAATCCCACACAATTGTCAAAACCAGTTTGCTTCCATTTTGATTTTCAGTCTGACTTTACAAATATGTTCTTGTTTGTAGTCTAATTTTATGCTTTCTCATTATATCGTTCCTGTAAATGAGGCACCCAAAAAGTGTACCAAGTCAGTTTCACCAGTGTCCTGGACAAACTCAACATTACTTCCTTGCTGTTAAATTATACACCACTTGCCATGAGCCAAAAGCTCTATGTACCTCAGTACTAGGTTTTAGTAATATGTTTACCAGTACACACAAGCCCTTTGTGATGTAATCCTATAACTAAAATAATCCTTGCTTTTGATATAGCGCCATATCATGTCTTCTAGATGTCTCAAAGAGCTTCACGGAATATACTGTAAAGTGAATTAACTGTATATTTTTGTGGGCGAAATGCGGCATCCAATTGTGGTAACAAAGCAAATACAGAAAGGAGAGTAGACCAATCAAAGAATTATATAGAATCTACAGGCTAAGACAGGCAATTTGGCCCAACCCGTCCATAGAATACCCTACGAGTTTCCACCCATTCTAATTCCCCCCTCCTTAGCCTCCCACCCCGTACCACTTTATTCAACTCACTAAACCTACCCCTTTCACATACCATGTACAATGAACTCTGCTATGGATTCTATCCAATTTAACTCTTAACCAAGTTACATCAAATTGGTCATCATGACAAAATCACCCAGATTGTTACGGAGGAAACACTTTTTTTTTAAGACTGTTTTTACTTCTATCTTGATCTTTCCCAGCAAAATCATGTAAAGTTATTCTTGAGCATGACATACTGAGGTCATATTGTAAAAACAGCTCTCCAAAGCCCTGGGAACAGTGACTATCCTATTGCACAAATAGAAAGCTCATTGTAAGTGAGCAGAATATACCAGGATCCTTTTTCTCAAGTATTTAAATTGCTGATTGAAATGTACTTTTCCTTATGTCATGCAAGAATATTTGTCCCTGCAATTGACAAGCTGATTGCTCTCTAGAAATACTTGACAGCTATGCATTGGTTCATATGCCAAACCAAAATCAACAGCAATAGGCTGCAATACAGCATGTGATCTATAATCTTGTGCTATCCCACGCAATCAGAAACAGTGAAAAGGACGGCACTTGCTGGGTTTTTTCCCCACCAATAACCCCCTCCCACCATCACTTGTGCAGTATTGCAACAGCTGCAACCTCTGATGCTGAACTGCAAAGCTCTGAACCTTCAGTACAGATGAATTACACTGCAGTCAAGATGATGATGCAGTTTTGTTTCAGCAGACTGAAGAGAACCAATTAGTATTTACATCTTCGTAAAATGCTCAGTGTTTCTCCAGCAAAAGTCACTGTGACATAAAAATTAAAATAGCCAGGTCATTGGCAAAGCATCAATCATTGATAATTAAAGCTGCAAAATACCAAAGGAGGCAATAAATCTGACAGCAAGCTCTTACACTACACTACCAGCAGCAAAATAACTCCCGACATTCATGGGAGAAAACATTAGATTTTTGTGGTAAACAGCATTTTACTTTCTGCAATTACTCTTTATGAAAAAACATGGAAGACTCACTGACTGGATTCTGAAGACACATTGCAGCTCTAGTTTCTATAGGGTGTCCATAAATAATAATAATAATCCTTGAATTTCATATAACACCTTATATTGTTAGACGTCTCAAACCGCTTCACAGAATATATTGTAAAGTGTATTTTGTGGGTGAAACGCAGAAGGCAATTGCGTAGAGCAGCGTCCCACAAACAGTCGTGGACTGAGACCAGGCAGGTGGAGGGCAGTGGAAGTAATTCCTCTGAATATTTCTGTCGGAATCAGGTGTTCAAGATCGATTGAGCTCACTAAAACTCGATTTCTTCTTTGATTTCTAAATGAAATGCGTGGGAGCATTGCTACCATCTTCCTGTCCACAGCTCGGGCACACAGCCCTTCCCACTAAGTGATGGTTCCACCAATTGGAGGTGTGGAATTTAAGCAGCAGCTGCTTGCCTCTCTGCAGGCCTATCAAGGTGAATTCCAGCCTCTTGACGTAAAAACGTATGTTCATGAACTTGAACTCCAGGTAACACCTTCCAGCAGCTGTTATCCCAAGCCTCGGTGTTTCCTCATCAGCTATCTGGCAGACATTTGCCTTCAGCGTGGTGATCGGACCTTTACAGAACTCTTGAGATGTGCTAGCCACCTTGATTTTCTTGAGCTTCACGTCCAATGCCATGTTGGAGTTCCTTCTTAAATTCCTCCAAATTGAGACCATTAAGTGTCCCAGGCTTACTCAGCACCAGCTGCTCAATGCAGTTCCTCATACATGAGGCCTTGCCAAACAGACGTGCCGTGCCCACTGTGAAGCCGACTCCGCTTCCAGTGTGTTTAGCAACAGATCAGTGTAGGCCAGAGCCCTCCTTCCCTGCAGCCGCTTCCCATGTATGCCACAAATCCCCCTCACTGCTTGATCCTGGACTTTACGGATGAGTCGGAAAATGCCTTTCTGCTGCATCCCTAGGAGCTCAGATCCATAAAGGTGCTGTTTGCACACAGGACTTGTATGACACAAGCTTGACATGCGTTGGGACCTTGCTGTCCTAGAAGAAAGATGAGTATGACCCAGAGTGCCCTTCACCCCTTCTCAGTGCAGTTCTTCAGGACAGTGTCCAGGCTGAAGTTGGTGTCCACCATGACGCTGAGGTACCGATCAATCAACAATTGGGACTGATGCCCCTTGTATCTTCCAATCAATTCCCTTAATGCCTTCCGTTGGGCCGTGCAGAACCATGATTCCGCACTTAGGTTGGCCAGTGTTCAAGATGGCAGGTGCAGAAGGCCCACAGGTGAGTCCGCCAGCAGCACAATATCATCCGCAAATAGAAGTCCCGCAATCCTGTCAGGGGCCTGGAACAGACACACCAAATCCTTCCCCCTCGATGCCGTCCAACACGTCGTTGATGCACACATCGAACAGGATGGGTGGCAATGGCAGCCTTTGCCTTACCCCCCCTTTCCAGAGAGATGGGCTCAGTAAGTAACAAGAGTGATCTTCAACAAGCAAACCTAATATTAGATAGTAGAATCTATCATATGATGATTGCTAACACTAACACGCTTACAATGGGAAATCCTAGTTTAAACTTGGAATGAAAACAACACTAGTGGTAGCATGCTAGGTCTCAGTATGCTGGCTGCATCCATACACACGAAGCACCTCAAGACGTCTCAACGATGTGTTAAGGCACTAAATCAAATACAAGAATTATTAATGTGGAAGATTTGACCGTGGAACACAACACTGATCATTTAAATTTAAATTTGTATCAAATTGGATTCTTACCTCCTTTAAATTTTTGATTCATGATGACTACTCGCCAGTTCAGAACAGTGCTAATCACTAGCAAGGCTGCACATTGTATACGAGTTGTAGGCAGTTGCTGGGTTCGAACCTGAACCACTAATGTATTCTCTCTAAGATGTTTATAGTTAATACTGTATTGTGGTTTATATCTCCATGAGAAGTCGAAGTCATGCAATGAGATGACATCTTACGCAAGGAGTAATCTTTAAGCAATATCGGTTAAAATAACTGGCGTATAATTGGAGCGAGCATGCCTAATTGAAGTTGCACTGAATTAAATATATTCCCTTAGTCTGAATGATCTAGGTTATATCAGATCTCACTCATCAAGAATTTGCAAAAAAAAGTCAACCATAGCAAAGAATTTAAACATCTTAAAACTGTTTGGCTTAAAAATAGACACTAAAAGGCAAGTCATTATTTACATATAAATTGTACTTGATGCAGGCAGCCAAGTTACTCAATCAAGTGGCTATTTGATTTCCTGCCATAACGTAACAAGTTCACATTCCAAGACTAGCCGCCACTCAAACTTCAAATGAGGTGAGTTCCCAATTTGCTCACTAGATGGAGAACTAGAGATTAATGGTCTCAATTTGGAAGAATTTAAGAAGGAACTCACAATAAGCAGAGCTTCCTATCACTCACTTGACTAAGGAAGAAATTTAAATGTAAGAAACAAGGAGAATTATACATTGTAAGCAATATAAATAGGGCGACACCAATAAAAATATCTTGAAAACGCCTACTGAGCTTATCCAAGTGTAAAATCCTTCATTAGACTTATTGGAAAACAGTATGCCCCCTCAAAACAAAATGCGGTCACTCAAATCCTCTGGTCTGGTCTCAATCCACGACTGTTTGTGGGACACTGCTTTCCACAATTGACTGCCACATTCCACCCACAAATACACAGTCAATCCATTTTACAATATTCTATGAAGCGCTTTGAGATGTCTCAATGGCATGGTAAAGCGCTAGATCAACTGCAAAGATTATTATTATAAAAAGTTAGCTCCCCACCTCTGGCACTGTCCTTATCTTCACTGAAATGGTGCATCCAATTGCATGCACTAAATTGCATACAAGTCTAATTTTCAGTTGTAGTGTAATTGCAGTGAAAAAGAAGAATTCAACGCCTACCTGAGTTAATCAATAAATCAATTCCGTCTCCATTAACTTCTGCAACAGCAGCCAGTTAAAATAAACATCCCTCTTCCATCATTCATAGTCCAGGAAATGGGAATCTATAGGAGATGGTTACAAGCAGTTTGAATATTAAATTTGATATTTTAGTTTTATTGATTTATCAATGTAGTTGTGCTATTTTTAGTTCCCGTCACATTCATGTATCCTTGTTTAGAGGTGCTTTGTCAAATGGGAGACCAGGATGGCACAGCTGGTTAACACAGTGACATTTTACGTCTGGAATGTGGATTGGATTTGAGCTAGTCTCTTTGTCTGCTCTAAGGGACTGACATGAAATGAGTTGCAGCAAACTCAATCCAGTTCGAACTGGGTGCGAGTACGTAGCTGCTCATAATTCAAAACTGGTGCTGAATTGACATTATAACTGAGAAAGGCAAGGAAATGGCATGTGAGTTGAGTTATTCTGTCTCTATTCTGCCTCTAATAACTGACTTTAAAGTATTTGACTCTGAAGCTGGGTGCCAAAAGTCAGAGGAAATCGTGTCTAGTGCTAGAAACCCTCATTTGATAAGCACAAAACAATAATTTACATATCACCTTTCACGTAAAATAAACGTCTGAAACCCAAATCAGTGTTATATTACACTCTATTAGATGCCCCTGGCTCGTTTCTTTCTCTTAATGAGATATCATGTTTGTAGTTCTTACGTTCAGTACCTTTGCTTTCAAAATTAACTTCTTGTGTATTTGACTGGGGTTCATTTTCCCTCAGTGAGAAGAGTCAAATCCCTCTCAAGCCTGACAATATATTTACCCCAGTCTGAAAACATATCAACCCAACTGAGTTTTACTATTCTGATCGCAATACTTGAAGTTGCTTTTGAGTTATTCACTAGATAAGCAGATGTTTCAAAATAAATCCCAGTTTTCACCAAATTTATCCAGGGTTTTGTTATGTCCATTCCCCCCCACCCCCACTTTTTTTGACCTCCGCCCCCAATCTGTGATTAAGAACCAAAAGTCTGTTTCAGAGAATTCCAGCCCAGTTGAATTACTTATCAGGATCTAAAATATTCACTGTCAGAGCAATCCACTGCTCAGTCAGTGATTGGCCCAACTCAGGAGAACATCCCCAGTAACACAGATGATATATTACTGTAGAAAATATAACATTTGAGCTTGGGTATGTTTGCGGTAGTAACCATATTACACTAACCATAGACGTTATCATTTTCAAAAAGCCTGTGAACTGGCTTGTGTGAGTGTGACACACAACAATGTCAGAGAGCATCGTAGTTCAACAGGAGAGGGTCATGCACCTCGAACCAGCAAACAACCAGGGGTGAAAGGTTAACACTGTGCAATGACTTGTGCTGGAAATAGTTAGCTTTATATGTCAATAAACAAGGCAACACGTTGAGGCACTGTATAAAGAGGCCCAATGGGAGGTCAGCAAAGGCCCAGCAAATTTACCCAGGTCTGAAAACTCTTGTTCTTCACAGCACGAAACTGCAGAGCCAAATAACTGGTTCTTTACGGTTTCAAACTTTAGGCAAGTTTCCTTACTCCAAATGCCTCTGTTTACCTAGTAGTAAACAGGAACATGGCTGTTAGTCAATTGGAGGATTGTTTTCCAGGGATAATAATCGCTTCAAATAAAAATAATAATTTGGTCACTCAATCCACGATTGATTGTTGGGACACTGCTGTGCACAATTGCCTCTCGCGTTTCTCTGACAAAATACATAGTCAACCACTTCACAATATATTTTATGAAGTGCTTTGAGATGTCACAACAATGTGATAAGGCACTATATCAGATTATTATTATTATCTAATCCATGCTGTACCTAACCTGGGATTGCTGGATGGGGAGATAAATTTGAAAAGTTTGACAATTCTTCAGCATTTATTCTTCAAAAACATATGTCAAGTAACTTGTGCTTAGAAGGTTTGGGAAACTTTTCAAGATTACACTTGGTTTGCTGTTTTACATAGCTTCTGTAGATCCTCAGAGTTTCAAAGCTTTGCTTTTTCCAAAAATCTTGTACGTTTTGGTTATTTTTCCTGCACTATGTGGGCTGGAGTCCAAAAGGTTCAGAGATATGGATTATCTGCAAATGAGGTTTTATCAACCCTTTCATTACCAAAAGCATAATCTGTGCAAGCTGCATTAGGGCACTTACATGAAGCAATTAAATCTCCTTGCATCAATAAAGTTTGCTTTGATGTGGTACATGTCACCTGCTGTACCAATTTCAAACCTTTTCACACTGCACTAGAAAGGGACATTTCGGTTTGACGAGCCACGTATCTTTGTGATATTCATAAAAACGGGAGGGAACCCTTAAAAGGCTTGGGGTAAACATAGTGAAACATAGTGAAAGTAAAAACAATCCCTGCTTTTGATATAGCACCTTATCAAGTCATTGAGACGTCTTAAATGCTTTACAGAATTTACTGTGAAGTTGAATTGACTGTGTATTTTGTAGGCGAAATGCGGCAGCCAATTGCACAAAACAGAGCCCCACAAATGGTCACGGATTGAGTGACCACTCTTTTTAATAGTAATAAAATAACTATATATATATAAAAATTTACATCCTATGCCAATATGCCACTATGCCTCGATCATTCGCCCCCCAAAAATGCAACTTCCCTTTTGTAAGACGTTAAAGTCCCTTTATTCAAGTATTAAAATCTATTGAAAATACATCTAAACTTTATGAGTTTGCATTCTGCAGGAAACACCTGTATAAACGAAAGGCAGGATTTAAGAGTTTTCCACAGGGCTGGCTTTTTCTAAAGGTATTGGATTACATACTTTACCAATGCTGCTGCACACGGCTTGTTTTTCATTCTGCTCCTCTGACATTTGCGAGTCTAGTATCATTTAAGAGAGGGAGGTCTCTTCCGGGATGCTCCTCTGATATTGTGTGGCTTTAACTATTTGCAAAGGCAGCACAATTCCATGCAACCAAAGCAACAATTAATTACTGGATGTGTAGTTGGTGTTTCTCAGGAAATTTACAAGGAGGCTAAGGTGGTGCACTGATCCTCTGCTTCGTAGAGTAGGAGGATACAACTTCATGGCCATAAAATTAAGAAAACTTTAACCTTGTTATTCTTTTGTTGCTGATGGCATTGAATGAAGCGGTTTTGGACTATACCCTCTAAATGTGTGACATTTGAGACTAAAGAGAGAAACTAATAATCTTTGCATTTGCTATAACACCTTTCATCATTAGAATGTATCAAACATGATATGCTGTAAAGTGCAGTAACTTTGTATTTTGTAGCCAAATTGGATTTTGCATTTCATATTGTGCATTTTATAATGCAATTCTGGTTTTAGACACCCTGCTTGCTTGTGTAATGCTGGAGGAAAGAGCAGCTAAATTAAGCAGTTAATGATGCATTCTATTTTAGCACAGGAAATGCAATTATCATCATCCTTCCACATGTTTCAGTTGGTCAGTGCACCGCAGAAACAAACATGGGGGTAACAGGACGTTATGGACTCACGTACAGAACCTGTGGAAATAATAATAATAATCCTTACATTTGATCCACTTTTCACATCTTCAAGACGTCTCAAAGCGTTTCACAGAATAAACTGTAAAGTAAATTGACTGTATATTTGTGGGCGAAACGAGGCAGCCAATTGCGCACAGCAGAAAGAACAGGGTTCATCAGTTGAACTGTCTTTCCTAAAACAAATTCTGACTTGGAAAGTATTTGATCAGAAACCCATCAGTTTTTCAACAATCGTGCTCTCAAAATAAATGTGACTCTTCAGTGTATGAAGTTAACTAAACTGAGCTGGCATGCCATTAAGCAGCAAGTAACAAAAACAAAAAGCTTGAAGAAATGTGGGTCAGAATTTTGATGCCACAAAAACAGGTAGTGAGAAGTAGTTTAGAGTATCGGGCACAACTTTGTGAAACAATATTAAGTGATGGCCGAAAATGAATATTAAAAGCAGAGGGAGGCCCTCAGACACAGCCTGAATACTTGCTCACATTCAATAATTTGCTGAGTCTTCACTTTCATGAAATCACAGAGGAGTATTTTCAAACCAACCAAAGGATTCAAGTGTTTCCAGACATATAACAAATAATCATTACAAATATCTGTTTCCCGATAAAACAAAAAATTATTCATCCTCCAAGCTGATCTATTCGCAGTCCTTAAGCAGAACAGGAGAAGCAAGTGATTGTTGGTGAAAGGACTAAATTGAAATGCATATAAATCTATGCCCTGAAAATATTCTGGATAACTTCTTCCATCAAGCGGATGAACAGCTGAACATCTTAATACATAGACTGTTCTGTTCATCCAGGTTAGATGCTAAGCAGAGACTGTAACCCAATAATTCATGAACCACTGGGACTGGGATGAGTGCAGAGACACACGGTGTACCAGACTGTAGTGGATACAATCAGCTTTATCAAACATCATCATGCGGACTGGTTTGATGAAAATGATACAGAAATCTTGGCACTTCTGGCTGCTAAGCAACAGGCACATGGATTGCTGCTTACTGAGCCGCAGTCTGCTAAAAGAAAGAGAATTATAAAGACCTGTGTGCCAAGTTACAGACAAAACTCAGACACATGCAGGATATATGGTCAGACAGGAAAGCCGCCAAACTGCAAACCCTGGCGGATCAGAGGGAGACAAAGGGTTCCTATGAAACAACCAAAGAGTTTATGCCTTGACAACTTTTGAGCACAGCCCTGCTCAAAACCACAGATGCCAACCTGATCATCACTGACACAGGGCACTTATAGTTTGGAGATGGCATTTGCATTTTCGCAATCTCCCAAACCAACCTTTCAATATCACAGACGATGCCTTCTCATTAGTTGAGCAGCACTCTATTCATCACAAGATGTCTGATGCTCCCAAGCGAAAGAAAATCTGCAAAGCTTTTAATTCAATGAAGAATACCAAAATAGCAGATGAATACCTTCCAAAGTTTTCTTTAAGTGTGGGTGTACAGTGCCTTAGTCTGATATGCAGTCACTTCAATCAGGAGTCTTTAGAGACTGATCACCAGATCAGACCTGTTTGTGGGACACTGCTGTGCG